TTACTGTCCACCTGAAAGTACTACAATGCCATTATAGAACTAAGAATAGAACATTTAAGTTTATCTATGTTTTATTCTATGTTCTATAATGGCATTGTATTTTTATTTATTTTTTTATCAACTTTTAAAAAAAGTTTATTTTTTGTTTTATTTATTCAATTTTTATTAAATATTTTTATTTAATACTTTACTTTTAGGGGTTTCGGGGAAATATTAGGGATCTAGACCCCTGATATATCCCTTTTTAAAATAGAAAAAGAGATTGAGAACACAGAGTCCTCAATCTCTTTTTCTGTATCCCCTGTTATCAATGAACAGGCATCCTCTATGAGTGTTCCTGTTCATTGATAACTTGAGAATATAGTATGATTACTATAACTACAACTATGAATGAACAGGAGGTCATGTAGCTCACCCCCATTCATTCATAATTGGGGATACAGTACACATACAATGTCCTCAATTATCTACAAAACACTCAGAGCAGGGAGGAGAGCTCCGTCTCCTGTGACAGCACAGCCTGTCTATGCCGGACTGTGATAGGCGGCTGAGCGGTGTGGGAGGAGAGACACCGGCCGCTCACAGTGCTCTCCTCTCGCAGCACTCGGCCGGGAGGAGAGCACTGCTCTCCTCCAGCTGGGACACAGAGCAGCGCCCAGCGGGGAGGTAAGAAATCACGGATGCACCGATGTATCTGCTGGAAAATGGCACTTTCGACATTTAGCCTAAAGTGCCATTTTCGGCCGGCGCCTCCCCCTCAGCTGTGCGCCCGGGGGAAGCACACCTGCTGCTCCCCCCGGTTGTTACGCCACTGACCAGAATATATATTAGTCGGTGGTATTCTGCATTGTGCCACCGTATTATACAATGCAGAATACCATGCACAATACAATGCGGAACACCAGCAGTTATGGAGGAACACCAAATCCCAGCAATAATACATTAAGCAGCCTGTATAATGTATTATTGCTGGGATTTGTTGTTCCTCTATAGCTGGTGGTATTCTCCATCTCGATGTATAATGTATTATTGCTGGGATTTGTAGTTCCTCTATAACTGGTCAGTGGTATTCTGCATTGCGCCGTATAATCATTATACAGCGCAATGGAGAATACCACCAGCTATAGAGGACTACAATAGCCTGTCTATGCCGGACTGTGATAGGCGGCTGAGCGGTGTGGGAGGAGAGACACCGGCCGCTCACAGTGCTCTCCTCTCGCAGCACTCGGCCGGGAGGAGAGCACTGCTCTCCTCCAGCTGGGACACAGAGCAGCGCCCAGCGGGGAGGTAAGAAATCACGGATGCACCGATGTATCTGCTGGAAAATGGCACTTTCGACATTTAGCCTAAAGTGCCATTTTCGGCCGGCGCCTCCCCCTCAGCTGTGCGCCCGGGGGAAGCACACCTGCTGCTCCCCCCGGTTGTTACGCCACTGACCAGAATATATATTAGTCGGTGGTATTCTGCATTGTGCCACCGTATTATACAATGCAGAATACCATGCACAATACAATGCGGAACACCAGCAGTTATGGAGGAACACCAAATCCCAGCAATAATACATTAAGCAGCCTGTATAATGTATTATTGCTGGGATTTGTTGTTCCTCTATAGCTGGTGGTATTCTCCATCTCGATGTATAATGTATTATTGCTGGGATTTGTAGTTCCTCTATAACTGGTCAGTGGTATTCTGCATTGCGCCGTATAATCATTATACAGCGCAATGGAGAATACCACCAGCTATAGAGGACTACAAATCCCAGAAATAGTACACTATAGTGTACTATTGCTGCGATTAGTTGTATTCCTCTAAAACTGCTGGTATCCTGCATTGCGCCACTGTATAATGTACTATATTGCACACCACACTTTTTTTTACTTCCACCGCTCCAAGCTTGCTCCCGTGATAGACTACAATCTCAACACAAACTAGTAGTCCAGCACTGGAGCCTTTTTTTTTTTTAATCGAATGTAATAATCGGCCAACTAATCGATTTTGAAAATAATCGTTAGCTGCAGCTCTACACCGCACTTATATGTGCACTGTGTTAAGTCAGCCCATTTATATTGAGAGAATTGGATGTGACCCATGACACAGTACTTCAGTGCAGGTCAATGTCACTTCTGTGATCGTGTGCTGAGTGCCACTTGCAGCCTTTCAGCTCCCTGTAGCTGGAGGAGGATGTTGTCCCAAAGTTTATCTATGATGTAACAGGAAGTGATTGGGGAGCTGAGACAATACACCCCGAGACTCCACACATAACTTTCATGGACTGTTTACACACCTGAGTTTGACACAAAGGTGCAGAACTTGTGTTTCAGTTAGGAAACATTCTATGCTATTTTTGTTTTTACAGCTTTCCAAGTCCCCTACTTCTAGTTGTGTGGATAGCAAGCTATTCTGTAACGTATTTATTATACTCCGAGTTACTGGGCTACCCCTACACTAATCAGACTTTTACTGTTATTGCATCATTGTCGCCATCTGCTTGATATCACCTGACACTAAACTCGGGAGTTATAGTGACATTAAAGTCAAAAGTCGTCCCCTCCACAATGTTAGTGTAAGGACTTACCTGAAACGATGCCTCTTTATTCGATCATCTTCTTCTTTACTGTTCTTTTCAGCTGTCCCTCCAGCACTGGTGCGGGTCTCCGATCCAGCGCTGACTCCTCTGTCCTCCTCTCCTCTGATGTCCCACGGAGTCTGTGCGGGTGCACGCTGCTCCATATACTTACCTTGTCTCTCTCCTCGTCTCCTGGCCGAACATCCAAACTGCACATGCGCCCGTCCCAAGATCCTTTGCGGTCGCCTGAGACTCTTCAGATGTTCGGACAGGAGAGCGCGGCGCAGACACAGGTAAGTTTAAACCTGTTTGAATTTTTTTTTAAAGTTTTTGCATATATCTACTGCTTGCTAGCACTAGATATATGCAAAGAAGTGAGGAGTTAATAACCGTTTAAAGCGACATTAAACCCTCCTTTTCTTTTATCTTTTTTTTTTTATGGTGGCCAGACTTGCTGGAAAAAAAAAGTTCTTATTTTTTTTACATTTCTTTGTCGTATCCAGGCCGCAAGCCCGCCCCTCCCCTGTATGGGTGCCTCCATCAGCTAGCCAATTGCTGTGGAGCCACACGTACATGTGCACGGTCACGGCCGTGCCTAGCTGGCTGGCCATGCCCCCACTCTGCAGTCACAGCTTGACTGACGTCAGAAGGAGCCTATGGCTCGTCCACCTTCAGTATTCTTCCCTACAGCCAGGAAGTTCGGGGAAACCCATGTATCTTCCCAGTCGCAGTGCAGGAGACGAGCGGCTGCAGGTAAGTTTGGGGGGGATGGGGTTGTTACAAAAGTGCTGAGCGTTCTTTGCCTTGATGCAGATTTTGCATTAAGGCAAAAATTACCCAGCCTTTAAATCTTAAAAATGCATTCAAGTACCTTAACAATTAACAAAAATGTATTTTATTTGTGTATCACTCGGCTGTAGATCCTCAAATCATCTCTGAATAGGTGCTGACACTGTCCTTCCTTCTGGAGGGTAGTTACTTTAGTTCTGCATGATCCCTGTGTGTGTTGAAAAGTAGACGCCGCTCCAAGCTCACTCCTGTGATTAACTACAATATCGGTACAAATTAGTAAACTAAACATGAGATTGTAGTCCATCATGGGAGTGAGTTTGGAGCGGCGGCTACTTGACAACACACACAGGGACCATGGGGAAGAAAAGTAGCCACCCTCCAGAAGGAAGGACAGTGTCAGCATGAATTCAGAGATGATTTGAGGATCTACAGCTGAGTGATACACAAATGTAATTGGGTGCAGATTTGCACTGGGGTTGACTCCAGTGTTGTGTGGATTTATGGAGACTTTTTCTATTGAGTGCTATTTTAGCATCTGCATCTTTTCTGAATTAAATACAGAAGTCAAGACAACTGAATCTTTTTAGATGAGTCCATGCAGTACACATTGGCCTTGGCCTCACTCCCTTCTGTCACCCAATACTACTTATTGGCCTTTTTATGTGATATCTACTAGCCAATTAAATAGTTCGGGAAGTAGTAGGGGAGGGCCAACCTTGACTTTTACATGAGAAGTCCAAATTTGCATATAATTTCAGCTGTCTGTCTCTCAATGTATTGATTATTTTGCTATCCGAATTTCAGTATATCCACTTCTTCTGCATCACATCCACAGATAAATTGCCCAGGCCTAGCAGGGGTCCTGTTTTACACAATTTGAGGAATGGTGGAATTTACATCCAACCATTTTCTTTCATCTAAAAGCACGACTTTCTAATAGCTGGAAACTTTTGTGTTTCATTCTGTCAGGTGTAAGAATTTCTCTGTTTCTTTCTGGAATCCCTATTGGATGCTGACCACTGGTGTGTGTGGAAAGGACTGCTTTTGGGAAGCTGCTTTTAGGTAGGACTTGCTGTTTTATGGAATAGATCTGCTACATATAGAAAAACTAGCCATTAAATCACCTAATTTTCAAAGGAATCAGTGGCTGTGGTTCAGTATGGAATTCTAAGTAAAAGTATAGGGTGGGCATTCATTTTTTATTTGTAATTATAAGGTGTAAAGTTGCAATCTAGTCACAGCCTTACTTTGAGTCATGCTCCATTTTCAGTAGTATGTACCTGTGCACCTAATTAGAGGAAAGTAATAGAATGTTCTACAGGTGTAATATTATCATGACGTTTTAGTAATCATCCAGTTTTTCATTATCCACTGCCAATGCCATGAATGCAATACTACTGATTACTACTGTGTTTCCCCGAAAGTAAGACCTACCCCGAAAATAAGACCTAGTGCTATCTTCGGGGATTTCTGTAATATAAGACCTACCCCGAAAATAAGACCTAGTGCTATCTTCGGGGATTTCTGTAATATAAGACCTACCCCGAAAATAAGACCTAGTGCTATCTTCGGGGATTTCTGTAATATAAGACCTACCCCGAAAATAAGACCTAGTGCTATCTTCGGGGATTTCTGTAATATAAGACCTACCCCGAAAATAAGACCTAGTGTCTTTTTTCGTGAAATAAAATAAGACACTGTCTAATTTTCGGGGAAACAGGGTATATTCATCTGTTTGTACCCCCGGTAAGTGGAGCTCAGAATGATGATCTTCCCGCCTCTAGTCAATATATTATTACCTGTTCTTTTGTATATTCAGCTGTCAGTGCCTTGGTCTCCTTGACATTTTTTTGGCTGGATGAATTTCCCGCTTTGCCCTTTGTATTCTCACAGCAGCGAGTGTCGGAATACTTCAACAGTGGTGGCAGCTCATTGGCTGCCGTAACTATATGGCCGAAAATGTTTCCATCCAGCTCCTTTTATTTTGTGATCGAAGGATGGCAGATGGAGGGGTGCGGACAGGGGCACCCACTACGCAAATTTCAGCCAGTTCACCAAGAACTAACTGAAATCCGCACAGTGTACGACCAGATTTATTTATCCAGAATATTCTCTGCCTACTATAGCTTCTTGCTTGTAAACTAACAGATCCAGATTTTGAATATACTGTGTATGCAAAGATTGGTGATTGTAAGGAAAGTCTAAGTAAGTTATCCAAACTACAGTGGCTTGCAAAAGTACTCACCCCCAACGGGGCATTTTTCCTATTTTGTTGCATCACCACCTGGAATAAAAATTGATTTTTATTAGGGATGTCACAATACCATTTTTTTCAAGACCAAGTACTTTCCCTCAGGTGCTTGCTGATACCAATTCCTGATACTTCTTAAATGGACATGTGACATTTTTTCTAAAAAAATACAGACTGTTGATTTTAGGGAAGTTTCTTTATAAAGAACTGTAACTCAATCCATGATTATTCAGCAATGGAGAATGGCAACTGGCTATAGAGGACCACAAATCTCAGCAATCCATGATTATTCAGAATGGAGAATGGCAATCATGGATTGCTGAGATTTGTAGTCCTCTATAGCCAGTTGCCATTCTCTATTGCTGTATAATCAGGGCAGCTTGCTGGTCTCTCCAGGGCTCTATAGGTGGGTGCCTGGCTCTCCAGGGCAAAATGGGTGCGGGGCTGTCCAGTGCTGTGTTGGTCTCTGCAGGTGGCGGGAAGGAGGAGGAGATGTGGGGCCAGACCGGTGCTGTCAGACAGCTGCCATGAGGTCTCCAGCAACAGCAGGATCTCAGGCAGCCGCTCTTGTTTAAAATTTCAAGGGCCGGTGTTGGCCTTTAATATCGGGGCATTTTCATGAGTGCAAGTACTCGTAAAAAATGCCCTGTATTGGTATCGGGATATCCCTAACTTTTATATGGATTACATGTAATGGGCATACACAAAATAGTCAAGTGAAATCAAGAAAAAAAATGTTTTTTTAAACTTTAAAATACAGGAAAGTGATGCATCCATTTGTATTCACCCCTTTGCTATGAAGCCCCTACATAAGATCTGGTGCAATCAATTACCTACAGAAGTCACATAATTAGTTAAATGAAGACCACCTGTGTGCAATCTAATTGTCACATGATCTCATTATACATACATACATACATACATACATACATACATACATACACACACACACAGGGCTTGAAAAATTTTAGGGTGTCTCACCAGTCAGTCAAAAATGTCACCAGTCAGCATGACCGGACTATAGCCTTGCAATGTATGTTAACATTTTTTGGGGACAGAGCTTTCTTTTGGAGGTATATAATCCCCACTGGGGGGTTGTTATTTTTTTTTTACTATATAATGAAAAAAGTGCCGTAAATGTAAAAAAAAAAGTTTCCCTACGTTATGTTATAAAACATTTATTCTTACCCATATTTTTGGTAAAACATAAAAGTCGGGGTCACGTCGGGTAAATAGACACCAAACATGTCATGCCTTAAAATTGCGTGCGCCCCCGCAAAATTGCAAAAAACGCCCATAGGCGACGCTTAAAACGCTTTTACTGCTCATCAGTTTAGTGTTATCAGTGATTAATGGCTCTAGAATTATTGCTCTCCGACGTTTGCGGCGATATGTAACATGTGCGGAACAATAGGCGCAATCGTCGTTTTCACACGTAGGCGCACCCGACGCATATCTGTGTGTGTATGTGGGGGGCGGGGACTTAAAAAAATATGTTTTCTTTTTTAATTTTTTTATGCTTTATTTTTTTATGATTCTTTCATTTTTGTATTAGTTTTTTTTTTTTACACTCAACTTTATTGCTATTACATGGTGGGCTAAGAATCCCCCTATGAGATAGCCAATTTACATGACAGGTCCTCTTTATGGAGACATCAGGGGTCTCCAAGACCCCTAATGTCACCTAGGGACCCCCAGAGAAGCTGATGAAGCAGAGATCTGCTTCATCAGCTTCTGTAGGTGGAGAGTGACACTGAATGCAGGAAGTGATGTAATATATATCACTTCCTGCATTCGGGGACTGAGAAGAGATCAAAGGGAGATCGTATACTGAACTCCCTTTGATCTCCTGTCACAGAGCCGTCCCGGCCGCATCGGGCACTGCGGATTTCGGGACCGGCAACGGCAGTGACAAGTGCTAATACAAGCGATCGAGCGTCTCTAGAGATGCCCGATCACTTGAATGTAAAGCTCCCGGCCACGTAATTAGAACAGCCATCCGGGAGGCTGCTCGTCGGGCTCCACCGTCCTCTCGTCGCAGACGAGTGGATTTTTCAAGCCCTGTATATATGCATGTATAACACACACACACACACACGCACACACCTGTTCTGAAAGGACCGAGAGTCTGCAGCACCACTGAGCAAGGGGCACCACCAAGCAGGTGGTACCATGAAGACGAAGGAGCTCTCCAAACAGGTCAGGGACAAAGTTGTGGAGAAGTAGAGATCAGGGTTGGGTTATATAAAAAAAACTTGTAATGTCCCACGGAGCACCATTAAATCCATTATTACAAAATGGAAAGAATATGGCACCACGAAAAACTTGCCAAGAGAGGACTGCCCACCAAAACTCACAGACCAGGCAAGGAGGGCATTAATCATAGAGACAACAAAGTTAACCCTGAGGGAGATGCAAAGCTCCACAGCAGAGATTGGGGTATCTGTCCATAGGACAACTATGTTAGACTCCCCAAACATATTAAAGAAGATAGTCAGATGAGACTAAACCTGAACTTTTGAGCAGTTTTGCCTTGAAGAATGGGCAAAATCCCAGTGGCTAGATGTGCCTAGCCTATAGAGACGTAGCCCAAGAGACCTGCAACTGTAATTGCTGCAAAAGGTGGCTCTACAAAGTATTGACTTTAGGGGGGTGAAAAAGTTATGCATGCTCAAGTTTTCTGGGATTTTGTTATCTTATTTGTATCACAATAAAAAATATTTTGCATCTTCAGAGTGGTAGGCACGTTGTGTAAATCAAATGATACCAATCTCCCAATAACCCATATTAATGTGAGGTGGTATTGCAACAAAATAGGAAAAATGCCAAGGTGGGGGGGGGGATACTTTTGCAAGCCATTGTATGTACTACTGTAACGTTTGACGTAACTACTCCAGAGCTGGACAAATCACAGGAGCCAGGTAGGCATGGCCTTTGCAGATTCTCTCTAGTTGTCAAAGTAGCTGGCTCCTAAAAACAAAATCCTACAGGCTCCTGAATAATTTGTTATTTTGTCCACCTCTGGTGTACTCTTCTGTACTGTAATGGGAGTATAGTGTGTGCTGCGTGATAGACGTGTTAGAGCCAGGTAGCCAATGCTTTTTGGGGGTTTTCTGTGGTTGCCAATGGAGCTGGTTCCTGAATTCCGTATTATTTTGTTCATCCATGTGGTAGGCTTATGTTATTGTAAATAAAATGATCGGCCTCTTTTGGTGAAATCAGCAGGGATGGCAAATGAGGATGGTGGTGGCGTTTTATAATCAGATGTCATCTGGCCATATTAAGCCATTATGCTGCCTGTGCACGCATTCTGAATGATGGCTATTTGTACAAGCTCTGCTCCTTTGTGCAATTATTTTAGTGAAAACGAATGCTAGAATTTACTTAGGGGAGCAAACTATTTGTTTCTATTTACAACGGTTTTAAATGAAGTAGATCAACACACGGCAGAAATGTTTGTTGAACTATAGCTAGTTTTCTGACTCCTCTCCATACCCCCTGCATACATTTGCCCCTGTAGGTGATTTCATGAAGTTAGCCACAAATGTCCAGAAGTGGCTAGTTGCTAAAATTATCACAATCTATAATTTTTGCCATTATGATAAATACAGACGAAGGTCTTTGTATGTAAAAATTTGGAATTTGGTATACCACTTTTCATGTGCAATGTTTGTTATCCACCATGCAAAAAATGTAGCATTAGCAGTTATAATTTTTTATGGTGTGTGTGTTTTTATGTATGTTTATGCTACATAAACTAGCACCAACAGTAAGTGGTCCTAGAGGTTACTGACTTGGGATGGAAGGAGGAGTCTATTTATTTAATGTGGTTGATGTGTTTCCTGTTGCAGGCAGGCGGAGCCTATATCTCCCGATGGCTGTCCTGGAAGATTCCTGGAAACAGAGTTATCAGGTAATCAACTCATGTTTTTTGCCGTGTTTTTGATGCGTTCCAGTTTAAAAAATAAATACATTTTTTATATATATATTTTGTGCTGGAGTGGGGCTGTCGGTATGTTAGCTGCAGTGCGTTTTGGACGCGTTTTGCGTTTCCGGACCTAACAAAATGTGACAAGCAGTATTTTTTTCTGTCGTAACCTGAATGGACTGCGCACGTGAGAACTGTAGCCCATAAAACACATACGGATACATTGGGGTGCATTTTTAGTGCAGGAGCGTCGTGTGAACAGGCCCTAAGGGACATATGGGAAATTATTTGCTTGGGGAGGTACAAGGTCCTTTTTGAGGAAAGCCTACCCAGCAGCACTGTTTACATAGCCTTAAGTTAAATCAGAACTCAGAGTAAATTAAATCTTAACCCTTGCAGTGGGTCTACCCAGCACTAAAAGGGTTAAGTGCTCATTTTGCCTAGGGAGCTAAAATAACAGTTATACTCACTGGAGCCACAATACCGGCTGGCTCCTACACCGCTTTGTCCAGCCTTCCTCCACTTCAGCAATGGAATGCCCCTCGGCATCATCAGTCTATACACTGTATAGAATGTGATGACTCGCAGGACCTTAGACCGCTGGAGGGGAGCGAGGCTGAAGGGAACGGTCTAAGAGCAAGCTGGGATCATGGTTCGGGTGAGTTTAACTTTTTTTATTTTAGCTTCCTAGGCAAAACAAACACATAACCCTTGCAATACGGGGGTAGCCCCACTGCAAGGGTTAAAGGAGAACTATGGGCTTAAGGCTTTTCCCCATAGTTCTCCTTAGGGTAACGGGAGGACACAAACTAGCGTCCTCCCGTCACCCTACGCTCAGTATACCGCAAACTGTAGCCCCGTCCGATCCGCCAGTCAGCGCTGGCGGAGCGGGGAGGAGGGAATCCATCCCCTCCCCTGTCACGGCAGAGGATCGAGAGGTGAGCGAACCCGGTATGTGTTCGCTCATCTCCCGATCTACTGAGCCGACCTGTGACAGTTCTAGCCGACCTGTGACAATGAGACTATGAAAAGTGAAAAGCACTCGCCTCATAGTTCTCCTTTTAAGATTTGATTTGCCCGTTGTTTTTCTTTAAGCTTTGTATATTGGACCACTTTGAAAGACTTCTCTGGCTGTGAAATTACCACAAGTGATGCATCCACACCACTTGTGCACATAGGCCACATTCCTAATAATGCGATCAATCGGCTCTATGGATTGTCCATTGGAAGAAGCCACAACGAGCTGCAAGATTTTATTGCCATTGTGTCGGGTGAACAAGGCAAACCTAGAGAAGAAGGATGCCAGAACCCAGATCTGGAGCAAAATCTATGCACTTGTTTTCTGACTATTATAAGAACCCAGTGGGAGATTAAACCCAGCAGCATTTACCCAAGCTGAGTTATACTTTTAGACTTTTTACCTTTTATGTAAACCTAGTACAGTAGCTAGTAGCTATCATTAATGTAACCAGCATGTATAGATTGGCAATCATTTAAATTAGGAAATCAATGCTTATACAATAGGCCCGGTATGTAACCAAACATTGTATATTGATTATTAGAAAACTGGTGATGAGTAGAGCTATAGTATATGTTGACATTACCTGACCATTTTGTGACATGTGTGACACCAACCAAGACAGAAGCTTTAAGCCACTAACTAATAGCTATGTATTTGTGCAGGTCATGGGTCATTGCTTGTTCTCTTTTGCAGCCATTCTCAACCAGGGTTCTGTGGAACCCTAGGATTCCTCCAGAGAGCTACGGCTATTGACCTCCCACTTGATGGGGTCTGCATAGTTCTGGAGCCGGCATCATTTGGCATCACCAGATGCATGACATTATATTCTTTTTAGCTGTCTGTAAGGATTGTATTCTGACCACCACTGGCCACCAATGTTAGCGGCATTTTTCTCACTTGACCCTCAATGAATTGATTTTAGCAGGTGTTCCTCAAGACCTAAAAATGATTTGAAGTGCCAGCTGTAATTATTTTGCACTCTATTTTGGTTATGACTTAGTATTTGTTGCACTTTTGTCTTACAGATACAATCTACCTGTAAAACATGGATTGGACACTATGCACTTGGCAGTTGTGGCTTGCGGAGATAGACTGGAAGAGACTATTACAATGCTGAAATCTGCTCTTGTTTTTAGTAGAAAACCTCTTGAGTTTCACATCTTTGCTGAAGACCAGTTGCACAATGACTTCACCACAGTTGTAAGTAATCCTTGCAAATGGTACATTTTTGTATGTATTGATCAACCCAAGAAGGCAGTGTGAAAAAGAAGCAGTGATACTGCTTAGGAGACAGATCTTCTATAAGAATGCTACCCCCCTGCTCAAAACAAGCAGTGCACCCATATCATAATATCTTTTGAAAACGCAGTGATATATCTGCGGCAGATGTTTTGTAGGACTGTCAAGGACTGCAGACATGAGGGTCACAAATAATAAAAAAAAAAAAAACTGGACCATCATAATTGTTTTAGATGGTGTGGATGGGTTAGAACTTCTGACAGCTTTTTAATGTGGTACGTGTCTCCATTTGGTTCGTTTGTGTTTTTTAACTTGCTGTTTGATAGGTGTCTGATTACCGGATTTACAGTAAGTCAATCCACCTCCTGCCTGATCTCCTCAATGGGAACACAGTCAGCAATAACAATATTACAGTAGTGAGTGAGGCAGGCTTAGAACCTGCCAGACTTATTTCTGTCTGTATTCTTGTGAGGGAGATTTCCCTTCAGCTTTTGGACAGAACGGGAAGAGAAATCTATGGGGACACTTAAAACATTTAAAACCCTTTCCCACTCCATCTAAAACTATACATTTTAATGTCTTGGTTGGATGTGGGCTTAAGGCTGGGTTCACACCTGGGCGTTTTTCAGCGCTGAAAAACGCCCAGCAAGTGAAATCCTATTGAGTGCTATGGGCATGGTTCCCACCTGGGCGTATCGGGCCAACGCCCCAAAATAGTACAGGAGCTTCTTTGGGGCGTATTTCAGCGCGTATCCATTGGTATTCCTGAGTGTGGCTTGAGGTTAACAAAGCGGTAACCCAGAGCCACACTCGGGAATACAGCGTAGGTCTTACCTTGTCCGCGATCCCCGCTGTGTCCTCCGGCCGCTGCCGTCTTCCGTGTTCCTTCCCTTGCGTGTGTCCGCGTTGCAGGGGGGCGGAACCAGCGGGAGGTTTAAAAAGTTTAAAAAAAGATAGAGGAACAAAATAAAATCATACCGCCAGGGAGGTATAAAAACGAGCGTCGAACGCGTGTTTCAGTGAACAAAAAAACGTGTTTTGAAACGTGCTGAAAAAACAAGCATGAAACGCTCCTATTTGGGACGACCAGGTGTGAACCCAGCCTTAATTCTAAAATAATTACAATTTGCTCATACACATGGGGGGAAATGTATCAAAACTGGAGCAGTTTCCCATAGTAACCAATTAGCTTCTCAAGTTAAGTATTAAAAATGAAAGAGAAGCCAATTGGTTGCCATGGGTGTACTTTTTAAAACTAGAAGCTACACGTGGCCTTTAAATGTTTAAGGCAGTGGGGAAAGTTTAAAACTACCTTTGCAGTTGGGGCTCTCCCCATACTTCAAGGGTTAAATGCTCGTGTTTTTCCAGGGTACCATTGAAAAGCAGTTTTTTTTTTTCTTGCCTTACCCCCTTTGCTCTCCCAGCAGCCAGCACTCTCTTATTGACTCCGACGCTCCCAAGGTGGGCGTCTTTACTTTTAATGGAGAAATGCTGGATTGCATGATCACATTAGAATGCTACTAATGGAGCATCAAAAGAAATGTCAAATTTTAACATTCTCATTCATAGTAGTTTATTGCAATTTAAATTTTGCTGTGGTTTTATTTATATTTTTTAATAAATTAATATCTGTTTAGTTGCTATAAGATCCTGCACTTTGCAGACCATTACTTCTTTCGGCACCTATTTGTTAAATAAGCCTGTTCAGTTTTGTCTAAATATAAATACTACCTTTTGTCTTTCAGCTCAACAGCTGGAGTACTGCAAAGAAATTTAAATATAGTTTGTACCCTATATCCTTTCCACCGGAAAATGCAGCCGAATGGAGAAAACTCTTCAAGCCCTGTGCATCACAAAGATTGTTTCTGCCGGTAATCTCCAGTTTATGTAGAGTTAAATATGTAACTTTGTATTCAGATATCTATAGCCACACCTTTTTTTTGTTTTGTTTTTATTTCCCCTTGAAAGATGCAATAAGAATTGAGGGTAAATCCCCTTTTAGTCATTTATAGCCAGTCAGGTGTTCCAATTGGAAGATTTTCTCTAACCTGCTCAGTGACAACTGAAACTTTTGGATTTCCCAGCACTCGACAATAATCACCAAGACAAAGAGAGGTTGCAACCTGTGTATCCAGGGATAGTAATTGATTCCTAACTGCATGTAATCCTTTCACATATGATTACATGCGGTATGCAGGCGTTTACATGCAGCAGCTGTCACCCGATCAGTAATTTGAATTGGTGACAGTTGCCGCTTGTATCCTGTGCATAAATTAAAACTGGTACTGTATATAGTAATGGCCCCCGACTAAATTTAGTTTGAGACCCCTGACCTAGAAGCTAGGGGGACATGTGCCCCGGTTGCCGCTTTTGGAGGGATGCCACTGGGTGTGTGGATGGATAACTTCTCCCTTGGGGAGGGGAGCAACTCTGAGCCTTTGTCCCGAGTGACAAAATGCCACTGTGTATAAGTGTACAGTGACATTGCTACATAGATTACATTTACTGGCAAACAGCCAAACTTTTTGGGATAGAGTGGGAAAGATTTGGTCCTTCTCTAAAGTTTCAATTGCTATCTGTATCCTAGCTGGGACGACAGACCCCTCTGGTTGTCCTGTGGAGACTGTTGTCGGTGCGACAGAAAGTAATAGAAAAGCCAAACTTGTTGTTGTCGCTAGAGCAAGAGATGAGGATTAATCATCCAACGGGTATAAAATGTTCTAGTGACAATTGTCTAAGATGGGAATTACCTTCACTTGGGGTAGACTTCCTCTCAATTTCTGTTGCATGTCCAGGGCAGGAAGTGAAGATAAATCAATACAGTGGGACAAAGACAGCAAATATAATAACCCAATAGTTTTAGCCTATTCTTACACTATCCAAAACTATGACTGTACATAAAGAAATCCCTCCCTATTTCCCATTGTCATTAATACTCAAGGATGTAATAATTTATGAAAGTTTTATTATATTGCAGACTTGCCTAAGAAAAGGTTTTTTTTCCCTTTTTTCAAGTTTTGCTTTGTTTATCAGAGGATAACTCTTGTAGCTTTTAAAGCATTTCCAATAACAATGCTAAAAAGTGCTTATTTTGCATTGCAGTTATTACTAAAGAATGTGGATTCGTTATTGTATGTCGATACAGACATACTGTTCTTGCGTCCTATGGATGATATTTGGTCTTTGCTGGATGAGTTCAATTCTACTCAGATTGCTGCTATGGCCCCTGAGCATGAAGAGCCACGCATAGGGTGGTATAACCGCTTTGCTCGGCATCCCTATTATGGAAAGACTGGCATTAATTCTGGAGTCATGTTAATGAACATGACTCGTATACGAATGAAACACTTTAAGGTAAGTAAATATACGGTTTCTGAGATTTGTTCCTGACTAAAATAAGTCATTCTTTTTTACGACTTATTAAAGCTGAGTTTACATATTAGCAATACTACGTGAAAAAGTAACTTATGTGGAAAATGAAGCGTCATTTGAAACCCAGGGTTAAATAAGGATATTTATGTTGGGTAGGAAGGTGTGTAGGACATTGTACAAACATCAGCATTTTGTGCAGTACAACAAACAATTTTTTTGCATCCATGGGTGATCATCTGCAAGTAATCGCAGCATGTCCGGTTCCAGCTGCAATCAATAATACAAAATCACCGGCACCCCATACAGCGTACAGACCTTGTTGAAAGGTTGGTGCTTGAAGTGACAACACGGATGTCGCCGTGTCAGATACAGTCCATAATAGAAGTCACCAGCACTCCAATGATATGTGCAAGAAGTAAAGCACTTTTTTTATTCAATTGTCACATGCGTCAAACAGCCAACGTTTTGGGAGCCATGCAAGGTCCCTTCTTCTGGGCGACATAGTGACCCTGGGCATAAAAAGAGTGCTTTACTTCTTGCACATATCGAGTGCTGGTGACTTCTGTCATGGACGGTTCCAGCTGCAGGCGCTGTCTGTTGCCATTGCTTTTTAAGGTTGATTCATGTCCACTGCAAAGTAATTCCTGAGACTCGCCCAATTGGCCCCAATTGTAGGTGGGAGTTAAAAAGCAATACGTTTTAGCTTTATATGCACTTAACACTTTGCATTTTCCATTTAACACAATCGAGGCACTAAAGAAAAACCCCAGAAACCGTAAAAGAGATCAATCCCCCATCAAGTCTTATGAATTGAGTGTGAATGGGGCCTAAAACCTCCTTTTAGGGTTTTTTGCTACCTGTGTGGTTGCTGGGGAGATTCACCCTCATTATTGGTCCCAGTGACTATAGCCACTGGTACAGAAAGGGATAGGAAACCAAAATGTGTTGTTACAGGAACGGAATGTGGGGAATCTTCCAATGGGGATGTCTGTTCTGGTTACTGTCTAAGACATGGATAGCCAAACTCTGGCCCTCCAGCTGTGGTGGAACTACAAATCCCATGAGGGAATTGCAAGATTCTCACAGCCACAGACATGACTCCCAGAGAGATGCATCATGGGATTTGTAGTTTCACCACAGCTGGAGGGCCGGAGTTTGGCTACCCCTGGTCTAAGAGGAGATTTCCCCTCACTTTGGAGAAATTTCCTCCAACGTCCTGTCATGTTGTCTTTGGGCCAGGAAGTAAAGGCAGCTCTCCTGACTGGACACCCACTGGAAAAAAAAAAAAAAAAACCTGACAAGGTTCTTAACATATACCTAATGTTTGTTACTCTAGCAGTAATTTAGGAGATTGCTTGATTGATGAGTAGATGGCGCATACATCAAAAAAGAATGCCGCTTACAGTTTGTTGGCAAGAGGTCACATTCACCTGCCTGAGCCCATGCTTCTAACGTGTTTCACCTACAGTTGGCATTAGTAGTAGAGTCGTGAAATGTGATGTATGACCAAGCCCAGTTGTGGGTGAAATGCATACGGGGCAGGAGGTCCGGTAAGTGAATGCGACCTCTTGTTCACAAAGTGTAAGCAAAGGACTTTGCAGTGCAGCTATCGTATATATATATATTTTTTTAAGCATATTTCGACCTGTGGGGATTTTACTCTCCCATAGTGGAGAGCTATAGATGATTGGAGACTTGGAGCAGAGCAGTGCGGGATGAAATTGAAGTTCTTGGATAAAATCCATAGGCATGGGGAGAACATACAAAGTTCATGCAAATAAGGTTCCTGATGGGAATTGAACCCATTACGATCTGCCTATGTTGCATAGGCAGATCGTACTTGCGATGATCGCAAGCCACGCCCCCTGAGGGGCGGGCTTCCGATGACCGCAATGCCGAACGGGCAGTGTGCGCTTGCGCACACCGGCCCGTGCGGTTGTTATCGTACGGACATGCCACAAACCCGCCGAACATCGTACGATGCTCGGCGGGTTTTAGAACATGCCCGTAAGTTTAAAGTCGTGCGACCTTACGGTAGTAGAGGTCGCACGGCTTCCACACACCTTACGAACATCGTACGATCGCGGGATTTCCCGCGATTATCGTACGAGAGAATTCAATAAAACGGGTGGGCTCTCCAGCTGTTGGGGAACTGCAAATCCCATGAGGCATTGCAAGACTGACAGTTAAAGACATGACTTCCAGAGGCATGGGCAAGATGGGTTTTCTAGTTAAAGCACAGCTGGAGGGTCGGAGTTGCCTGCCCCTGCAGTTATACAGGTTCACACCAATGCATTAATGTCACATTTGAAAGAAGTTGATTACACTGCGCTTTGGAGTCAACGACCTTTTGCCTTTTCGGCCACTACAATTCCTTCATAAATGCAGCACATCTAAAACACATCAATTCACATTCATTTTTTTTTTTTCCCCAGTTTTAAGGCATTGATCGTATTGTATTTAAAAAAATCTATATGTAAGGGACCAACTGTGTAGTTGATAGAAATGTCCAGAAGGTGGTGCTGTGAGAGCATATCATGATTCATGAACACTGCACGTTTCATTTTGACTTGAATTTTAATGTGAAGTTGATAGCTATAACTAATATGCTCATATTCTTGTTGAGCATTGCATTTGTAAATCTGCTTTAAGTGAACACATTACTACTAACAAATCTAGACCAGCCTATTCCTGTAACCACTTATTGTCCAGAGCATTTCCGCACACATGGTGAAATCTGAATTTTTGTGGCTAGAAAACAGCTTAATACTCCCAAACAATTCTATATTTTCTAAAAGCAGGGGCCCTGTAGAATAAAAAAAACAACTAGTTCCACTTTTTTACGCCGTGCAATATTTGCACAAATGTTTATCAAACCAATATTTTTAGAATAAAATACACTAAAATGAAAATTGCACAGAAACAGAAAAAAATACCCATTTCTTTAGGAAAATGTAAAAGATGGGGTTACATCGAGTAAACCGATACCAAACATGTCAAGCCTTAAAATTGCAAGCCCTGTGCTATGACAAATAGTATGGTACTTAAACTTGTCCATAGTCAATGCTTTAAAAGCCTTTACTGCTCATCAGTTTAGAGTTAATAGCCAATAATGGCCCTAAAATTATTGCTCTCACTCCTATGTTTGAGGCGACACCCAACGTGTGGCGCAATCGTCGTTTAGGTACACATGCATATACCCTATGTGCACATTTTCATTCGCATGCAGATGGTGGGCCAGCGGGATTGGGTTTAATTTTTTATTTATTTTTATTTTTTCCTCCTTTTTTTTTTTTTCCAACTTTATTGCTATTACACGAGCTAATAAGCCTGTCTGTGACAGCATTTGGAGGTGACAGGTTCTCTTTATATAGATGTCGGGGGTCTCCAATATAGGGGATCAAGCACAGTATTGTGCTCTATCTCCTGTATAACTGACATTTCAGCCTGGCTTGTGACAGCTGTGAGCACAGTGCTTCCTGACTCACTGATCACAAAGCAGATGGAGGAATGGATTTAACTTGGTCTTCTGTTACAAGTGATCTGGGAAGCTGTACAGTCGGCCTGATCACTTGTATGGAACAAGCTCCACCTGCAGGAACAAAAAAAAAAAAGATACCAAAATCATGATCTTGGTATAAGCCCCTTCAGGACAAGGACATTTATGTACATCCGGTAGTCCAGAAGTTAACTGCCATAACTTTGTTTTAGTGGTACCTTTGAGTGCTTGGATACACAATGTGCTGGTAGGTTTACAGAAACACCTGGCAACTAATATACATTTACTTACTGTCTGTTTTATGGAAACAGAATTCAACCGGTACCTGATGTGGGGAAGAGAAAGGTGTGTATTTTTCTACACATCATAATATGGATTTCCTTGATGGCAGGGCAGCTGGTTCAGCTTTTCCTGCTGGGATTTAGATGAATGTCTTTGTGGTTACATGTTAACATGTTTTTTCACTGTTTGGTTTCATAATATTGATATTTTCAGTGCTAGCATAAAAACTCCTTCATCCAAGTATTGTCTCTTGTAAACAACCCATTTCATTTACAGAATGATATGACAACGGTTCGTCTGAATTGGGGAGAAATCCTTATGCCACTACTGAAAAAATACAAGTTGAATATAACTTGGGGGGATCAAGATCTGCTCAATATTATCTTCTCTCACAACTCAGGTACTTGTTTTTTGGGATTTGTATATGTTTCTCTGAAATGTCTTTTCACATTTGTATTTCCTGTTCAAATCTATTGCCTGTGAATCATCTTTCTATTTGTAAAAGTCAGAAATAGACTTTTTGGGGGGTTTATAAAGGGACACAGTACAGACCTAAAGGGAGACAGTGCATTTTAAAATAGCGTTCTGTTTAGGTTTTTCCTTTTTCTATAGGTTGAACTCAATGGACTTGTGTCTTTTTTTTCAACCTGACTCTGTAATGCAAGGCAATAGGGTTAGGAGGGGGCTGCTTGTGAGAGCTTACAATCTAAAAGCAAGGGGCAAGTGACAGAAATGATAACTGTGCAAATATTTGCTATTAACCATGCCATACACATATTTAGCAGTTTTGTTCAATTCACCCCAAATTAGGTTTGGATTAACAAATTAAAAAAATTAAATTTTTGTGTTTTTTTTATTTTTGGCATATGATTGTGTCCATTTTATCAAAACTGAATTAGTCTTGGTGAGAAATCTTGTCACATTAGGCCAAATTGATGTTTGTTTTTTTTTGTGTTGAACCATCATTTACAGTAATGGAATCTACAACTGATTGTGTATAGTCAGCACTTTAATGCTGGCTCCACCAGCAGCACATATCTGACATTCACTGCCCTGTTGCTCCATTCTGCCCCCAGGAGCAAAGAAAATACCTAATACTTCATGTGTGGGAAACGTGACTCAAACTACTTCCTCCCATGTTTCCGTACTGGTCCTTGTTGATTGGCAGCTCAGGCTCCCAGCGCCATCACATGGGGATGGAGAGAAAATTCTCATCCCTGCATGAGCTCCTAGTTACAGCAGGCCAAGCTCTTGCCTCCATAAGGGTAGGGTTGAAGAGTTAGTTCAAACCACTGTGTTTTACAATGCTTTTGTAGTTATAGGTCACTAAAATAAAATAAACTGCCTAGTATTTCACACTTCTCCAGCACTGCATACATTAGGTGTGCTTCTCATATATTCTATAGGAAAAGATGAGGCACATTCGAGCTGAGAGAAAACTGTGCAATAAAGATTTTGTTACCATTGGGGACTTCTTTCTCTTTATTTCCTCGGCCTAAGCTCCCATATTTATGCAGTAGAGTTAAATGTGCAAAATTAGAAAGTTATATAAATATCTTTGTGCATTATATTTTTGGTAGCAATACCACATTGTTTACATTGGCAAAATACTAAACATGACTTTTTTTCATGTATCCGGCTGCCTATTGCATTACTGTGCTGTTGCCTAATGAAGCATTGCATCCGTATGTATTGCTCTCTAATGATCTGCTTGTTCAGTAGCTTAGCACCAATTCTGCTTTCAGCTTGTTTTTGTTTCTAATTCAGAAAGCCTTTATGTCTTCCCGTGTCAGTGGAATTACCGTCCTGATCACTGCATCTATGGAAGTAATTGTAAAGGAGCTGAAGATGGTATTTTTATTCTACATGGGAACAGAGGAGTATACCATGACGATAAACAGCCAGCATTTAGAGCTGTGTATGAAGCACTACGCAATGTAAGACACAATACCTAATCTTTTATGGCCTCTGCTGATCTAGCTCTTATTTTTTTCTGTGTAAATATAAAATACATGATTGCATGCACCTAGTACAGCAACAGATACCCTGAAATAAAAATGAATACATGACAGGTTGACAGTCTTCTTTTGAAAAGAACTATGGGGCTGATTTATGCTAAATTCTTTCTAAATACACTAAGCTGAACTATCCCTTCTGCAGTGGCTTACCTGCCTTCCCTGATGGTGGCAGCATCCCATGTTATCGACATTCTGGGTATTTGAGTTGCAATGCACTTTTGTAAATAAGGTCTTGGCAGTGGATGCTAACTTATTTTTAGCCTTACAATTTCACTTTTGAGAGGACAGGCACAACTGTAATTAACCACTTGAAGTCCGCGCTGTTAAACCCCCTTCCCATCCAGGCCATTTTTCAGTATTCAGCGCTGCGGTACTTTGACATTTATTCCGTCATGCAGCGCTGTACTGAAATTAATTTTATACCATTTTTTTAGGGACATATAGAGCTTTCTTTTGGTGGTATTTATTCACCACTGGGGTTTTAATTTTTTACTATATTAAGGAAAAATTAGCGAAATAAAAAAAACAAAAAACTGTTTCCCCTATATTAAATGATAAAACATTTATTATTACCCAATTTCTTGGTAAGATATAAAAGACGGGGTCACGTCGGGTAAAAAGACACCAAACATGTCAAGCCTTAAAATTGCGTGCGCGTGCCAAACCTCAAACGATAATACCCAAAATTGGCCATAGGCGACGCTTTAAAAGCTTATACCGCTCATCAGTTTAGTGTTATCAGTGATCAAGTAAAATGGTCAAGAAGGGGTTAATATTAAAAATAATACCGCAGGCTTTCTGACGACTTTCATTTCCCCTTTTTTACCTGCAGGCCTCATTCACACTAGGGTGCGATTAGGTGCTTTTATATATGTTTTTAACATGGCTATCTAATCGCATATATATATATATAATTAGAATATCGTGCAAAAGTAATGGCAGTAAGTGCTGCAAAAGGGGCCCAAACCAAGTACTGAGTACATATGCATGCTTGTACTTTTCAGAGGTCCGATATTGTTCTATGTACAATCCTTGTTTTATTGATTGCATGTAATAATCTACTTTTTTGAGGTTGTGGATTTGGGGTTTTCATGAGCTGTAAGCCATAATCATCACAATTATGACAAATCACGGCTTGAACTATCTTGCTTTGCATGTAATGAGTCTATCTCATATGTGGCCACCACGGGATCGCAAGGCACATTGTGCCTGCGGTCCGATCCTGCGCGGTGCGATCAAAATGCTACAATAACTATTTTGATCGCACAGGACCGGACCGCAGACACAATGTGCCTTGCAATCCCGTGTGGCGGATCGCATTGCGGTTGGAGGGCTAGGCTATGGCGCCATTCACTTGAATGGCCCGCCATGCCCCCTCCAGCCCCATTAAAGAGTGAGCCAGTCGCAATGCGAGGCAGTGCGTTCTGGCCAAAATTGGGCCGGAACGCACTGCGTCTAGTGTGACTGAGCCCTTACATTTCTATGTACCATATAAATCGCTCACTTTAGACACTTGCACAAACTGGATCAAGGATCTTGCCATGCAGTTGACCCACAGTTGCCATCTGCTTGGGATTATGCATGTGTTACACTTTTCATCTGTGTCTCTTCTTCATCTAGCTGTATGTAAGCACCAGCTCCTATGTAGTAGGGCTCTCTAGAGGAACTGTCTTTGTCGTTTCATGTAGACTTGCAGTTTGGGAATATCGTCATAGCTCTGCCTGGTTATTTGCCAACTTTCCCAGAGGTTATTACATAAAATATATGCATGTTTTCAGCCAAGCAGATCAAATTTCTTTCTTTCGGGCTACAAATAAGCCTTCTAATAAACAATTTATTACTTGTAAACCCACGGAAGAGCTGTAAAATGTGTTGGCATTCATTGTAATATAAGAGACTGGCTTGTATATAACCTTCAAAAATCAATACTATATTTTACTAGCTGTCATGTGGAAGTAAAAATGAAAGAGAGGACTTTTGGGAATGTAAGATTGCTCCGCACTCACTCAGATTGATCCCATAAAATCTTTTTTCACCCTACTTTTGTATATATATCTGTCCTTCTCATGTCATTCTTATAGCTAGACAGCTTGATACGATTTGCAGAGATCTTTTTATCCCATTTATAAATTATATATATGATATTTAATATTATAATATTTTGTGTGTGTGTGTTTTTTGTTTTTAAACATGGCTCATTATACAGTAATTGGTTATA